CCCCCAACACTACTTCCGGTTCTCTGTGATGTTTGAGAGACAGTGCATTGATACAGCAAAGGCTGGTGGCTGGAAACAGAAAATGACCCTTGGACAGAGAGACTACTTGGGGATGAACAAGAGGATTTCCAAACCCAAATGCCCTGTGTAGGCTTTAATGTCAGAGTAGAAAACAGAAACACAACTTCAGAAAACAAGCACATGAGATTCTCTCCGAGGGCAGAGAAAAAATACAAAGAAGCCGTCATTATGAGAGGAAGCTAAGAGGCCTGGAGGAAAGAACCCTAAGAGCTAAACTATGTAGGAGAGAGGATGGAGAGGGAGCAGGAGGAAAAGGGGACAGAAGGGAACAGTGAACCGGGAAGGCGTGTCACAGGGAAGAGATGGGCAGGTTCAATGCAAGGTCCGAGGGGGAGGGGAGTAATTACTCCAGGGGAATGCGGGAGCCAAGGCCGGGCTCTAACTGAGGTGCAGGGCTCCAGCTGTCAGAGACCTTGGTGGAACTAAGGGGTTGTCATTTGGCTGACAGCCCCCCACTGAGCAAGCACTGTGTGTGGGGGGAGAGTGGAAGGGCGAGCAGAGCTGTGTTACAGGGCTTTGCTCTGCTTTTCAGACGTGATATTTATATTCTGATTTTTTTCTTTCTTTTTAAGTTGTCAGAGAGTCACCAGAGAGGGCAAAATCACCCTCCAATGGAATGTGGTCATGTTGCAATCCCTATTCCTCCATTTCTCCATCCTCACACACACCTAGTATGTTTCTCAAGCCACCTGGGTGGGGATTCGAACTGTGCTTGGTCATGTGTAACTGGGCTCCCTAGACACATGGCTTAACTGCAGTGCTGGTCCATATTCTGATTTTAAAGTAAATGAAAAGAAAGCACAGGGGTCGTATTGTTCATGTATATTCTGAGTGGAACATCTTCAAGGTTCAAATTCAATAGATATATGTTTCTTTTTTATAATGAAAAGAATCCCCAGTACCTCCCCCTCACACTCCAAATACTCTAATTCCCTCTATAGAAGCTCCAAATGTTTCTAATTTATTCTGAATCCTTACAGAGATTTTTTATGCATATACAAGTACACATGTATCCTCGAAGAAATATTTCCCATCTTCTTGTACATCATAAGTGGAGGAAATCCTTACACACCTCTTCTGTACCTTGCTTTTATTTTTTTATTACACTGTGTATTTTAGAGATCTTTCCATGTTGGTACAGATTTGTGTTCTTTTTCACACATGTATAATAGTCCACTGGGTAGCCATCTCTTGGTTTACTTAACCAGTCTCCTATGGATGCACATTCGGGAGGTTGCTGATGTTTTTGGTTTGGAGATTTTTTTTTTGGGGGGGGGAGGTTTTTGCTGTAGGGCGCGTGCGCTCGCTAGACAGAGAGAGACAGAGAGACAGAAGGTGAGAAATCATCCCCCGTGGGGATGGCCACGCTGTAATCCCTTCTCCTCCATTCTCCTCTCGCTCCCCCCTTCTCCCCTCGGGAGCTCTGGCACACACACACACACACACACACACACACACACACGCCCGATGTGAGTTTAAGCCACCGGGTCTGGGACTCGAACCGCAGTCAACTACATGGGAGTCCAGCGACATAGACATTATGCTAACTGCTGGTCCTTGGTTTGGAGATTTTATGATTGATGAGACTGAAGGGTGAAGAAGTCTAAAGAGCTCTGAGGGGAAGGGCTCGTGACCTAAGAACTCTTTACCTGGTCGAGCTGCGGATTTGGGATAAGATAATAGAAAGTAATTTTATTCTTTGAAGAAAAGATTACTGAAGGGAGGCCTCTGGCAAATAAAGAACAAAACAAGGAGAAGTTAAGAATTCAGGAAGGGCCAGGCAGTGGTGGAGCTGGACTCACATGGGGAAGGTCCTGGGTTTGTCTCCAGGGACCTCCCTGAGCCTGTGACCCCAGGCTGCTGAGACTGGGTCGAGTCATAACATGATCCCTTCCCTGCCTTACCTCTCATGGTCAAAATAAATAAATGCACATAAAGAAAGACCTCCAGGGGATGTGCCGTCTAGAATACAGAGAGGACAGCCTGACTGAAAACAAGGTACTTGGGAGGTGTTTACATACCGAGCTCGCCGTGCATATGTAGCTCCATGGAGACGTTAACAACGCATCATTGGAAATGGAGGTGAACACTAGCACTGTCCGAGACTCACACGCTGGATGGCTTCGGCAGCAGCTCAGAGGGTTTGCTAACGAGCCTTCTCAGGAAGTAGTGCCTCATCTGTGGCTTGGATAGAAAGCACTCACACGCACATGTGTCACAGTGTGTTTCTAATAATCGGCTCGAAGTCCCCTTTCCGTTTCCCAGCACTGTTTATTTATTTATTTATTGGCTTGTTTTTCTAGGTTTTTGCCCTAGGATGTGTGCACTCCCTGGAGAGACACGGAGAGAGACAGTGACGGAAATGGAGACATCACTCTCTAGAGGGGATGACCATATCACAATTCCTTCTCCATTTTCCTGGGACTTTGGGCACCCACATGCACACAGCTGGTGATTCTCAAGCTTCCGGGTCTGGGACTCCAACTGAGGTCAGCCATGTAAGAGTCCAGCGCCTTAGCCACCAGCCACATGCTGGTGCCTCTCAGCACATTTAATATGAAGTCGTGAGATCAGATTGTGATCTTCCAGGACATTTGGAATCTGGTTCTTCTCCCTGTCCTCTCCTTTCCTTCTGTCTTGCTGACCTTCAAGCTGGTGGGGCCTCAGGTGTCCTTGTCCCTTCCCCCCACAGCCATCCCTCCAGGGGATATCATCCTGTAAGGCCCTTCCTGACTGCCGACTAAAGTAGACCTGTCACATCCTCTCCAGAGCTCTTGCCATGACCTGGTGTCCCACCCATGAGAACAGGAGGCTGTCTAGTCCCTGCGGTGGCCACTGTCCGTCCTCGTGCACTCAGTGACAGGGTGTCTTTGCTCCTGGGTTCACCCCCAGAGCCAGAGTCGCAGCTGTCAAGGCCGACGAGGGGAGGCGCTCGAGCTGCATCTTTAAAAAAGAAAGGAAAAAAAGAGCAGACTTTTTGTTTGTTTGTGTTTACACAAATTGGACTGCCGAATGCGAATGCATGGTTTCTGTTAGCACTTCTGAAGTGTAGCCGCGTGTTTGGAATTTCTCTCCGCAGCTCCTTCGGATTCCCTTTCCCTCACCGACCCAAGAGGACTGCGCACAGAAAGGAATGTGAAAGGAGGCCCGCAAAGGTCCGCAATGGGGTGGCAGCTTTGCTTTTCCCTCTTGCTGATCGATCCCTTTCTACGACGAATCGATCTGCTTTTTGTAACAGCAATAACCCCAACCTCAACCCGAGACAAAGTGTTGCCAGGAGGCTGCGGGAGCTGGGGCCGCGACGGCTGGGGTTGAGCGGACTTGGGGAATCCCGCGGGTCATTCCCCAGGTCCCCCAAGCCAGCCGCCCTGCTCCCGCCGCCCATAGGTTGCATACGCCCCCTTGTGGGCTAGCCTGCTCGATGCATTTCGCGTCTCCTGGTCCTCGCACTGCCTGGCAACCAAACCCAAACCCTTAACCTCCAGCATCCCTGCACCCACCAACCCATAGCATGTATGGTGGGGAGGAGGGGGGAAGAGGAACCCAACACATTCAGGCTGGCTGTCTCTATTGTCTCTCCCCCAGCTTTATTGCTATAATTCACACCTGTAGAAGGTGTACAATTCAGTGGTTTCGAGTGCACTCAGAGACAGGCAACCATCCCCGCGATCAGTTCCAGCCAAGGTGGGAGGCATTCAGGGTGGCTTGGCTGTAGACCAGAGTCAATTTTAGAATATTCCAATATCCCCCCACACCCCTAAAGAAACTCCAGGCCCGTTAGTGGTCATTTCCCATTTCTCATGCACATAAAGACCTCCAGGGGACGTGCCCGTGCCGTCTAGAATACAGAGAGGACAGCAGTGACTGAAAACAAGGTACTTGGGAGGTGTTTACATACCGAGGTCGCCGTGCATATGTAGCTCCATGGAGACGTTAACAACGGGTCCTTGGAAATGGAGGTGAACACTAGCACTGTCTTGCAACTAGCAGTCTACGGTCTCTGTAAGGAATTTGTCCCTTTGGGACCTCTCATAGAAACAGGATCGAATGCTACGTGGTCAGCTGCACTCCTTTCCTTAATGAAATGCTTTCGTGTCTCGTCCACTTGTAGCGTTGCATCAGTACTACCTGGTCTTTATTGTCAAGGAATATTCCCTGTATGCTCTGCCACGTTTTTTTGTTTGTTTGTTTGTTTGTTTGTTTTTTGAGAGGTTTTTGCTATAGGGCGTGTGCCCTCACCAGACTGACAGAGAGAGACAGAAAGCGAGAAATCATCCCCCCTGCCCCAGGGGGGATGGCCATGCTGCAATCCCTTCTCCTCCATTCTCCTCTTGGGATCTTGGGCACGCACACACACGCACCCGGCGTGAGTTTTAAG